AATATACAAAAGTAACCCCYACCCAATGGTCTATGTTTCTGCGGGTTCCCCCTGAAAAAAAAACTATATATGATATTGTATGCTAATTCTTTCATTTAACTCTACATTTCTCTGCCGTATTAAGTTGTATTGATTTTAATCTATTTTTACTAGTGAAGTATTGGTGTACCTAAATACATTATATTATGATTATGATAAAATATTATAATTTCTAAGGCTTTAAGCGGCGTGAGAARATATTATATTGGCTATTATTTTTATTTTAAGCTCTAGAGAAATACTCTGTGTGTCATTTAAATGCTTTAAAAATATTAGACTAATATTACTAATATTAAACTGATAATATAAAGCATTTTACTGTAGATTTCTACATTATAAAATAAAACTACAGATATTTTCAAGAAAAACGGTGATAATATAAATATAAGCTAGCCACTCGTTTTTAATAAAATCTTGATCATTTTTTGTAATTCAAAAATCCGGTCACAAAAATATTGCTATAATGCAGTTATTTATTATTTCATTTATACTTAAAGATACCTCCACCCCAGTACTTCCAACATTTATGTATTGCATATTTTATTATTTATTATTTTATATCTATTCTACAATCTTTATACTTACATTGTAAATGTTGTATTGTGTTGCTTTGTTATACTATATTTTCATTCAATTGGTTTTGTTTTTTATTGAAAAATGTATAATACACGTATGTTCTACATTTCATCCCGAAGTGCAACTGGTTAAATAGTGAAACTTTCAACAGTTCTTAAGTTTTATATTTAAACTATAAAAATGTATACAAAATGTATAATGAATTGCTTGTAAATTACATATGTAACAAATTATGTGTTAAAGGACACTGTTATAATTTTTATTACATACGGATACGGATAAATCAGAAATATATATATATATTTTATTACAATACATCTAATATTAATTTATAATTAAGTTTTTTATAACTATAGTTATGAACCATTAACTTACCTCCTAACTCTATTAGGTACTAAAAATTGTATAGAGTGTATAATTATATTTTATTAACGTGTAACTTCTTAAAATGTATGGAAATACTTGATGTACTAGGAAGTTAACTTACCTATAAWATAGTATTGTTCTATATATATCACAGTAACTTAAATGACCCTTCAATGATTACAAATTTAACTAAACATTTTAAGCATAAATATTTGTTTTGAAAAATATAATGTTTCTTATGAGTAATAATGATGGTATAAATTATATATTTGTATTACATAAATTATTTAAAACATGATGAATGATAATTGTTGATTACTTTATTCAAAATATATATGTTATAATTTATGATAGGTATATATTTTTTAAATTATCATTTGTATTATATTTAATTACTCCCAATATTAATTAATAAATATAAAAATTAATATATTTTTAAATATTAGTTTAATAATACTGCGTTTATTAGACATGACTGTATATGGTATTTGTTGCTATTAAAACTAATTTTTAATGTTACTATACCTTAAGGTCAATTGTATTCCAGTGATTAAAGTGATAAAATCAATGGGGCTTAAATGTTTTTCCTATTAGTTTTATTAGATAATAATATTTTACGTAGTTGTCTATATCATTATTGACTCGATGTTTCAATAGGTAAATAATTGATGTTATTTTAACGTTTGTATATCGCTGGTATATGAAAATTGATTAAAACAATATTATATAATTCRATAAAAATGATAAAATATTATTGATAAAAATGTTTGGATATAATAACCACAATTATGAAATAAATCATTTGACTTATGATGTAATAAACACGTTTAGTTCAATGGGTAGGTACATTTATAAATATGTGTGTGTGGTAGCTAAACAAATCATATTATGTAGGTATAGGTATAGGTACGTACAAATATACAAACTGATGATTTCAGTTAAATAAGATATACATAAATACATACATTTCTATTAGCAAGGTTCTTGCGCAATAGACGGTATGCCTAACGAACATCCATTGGTGGATCAGGTAAAACGGGGCTCGGCCATTTTGTCGGTTAGGGTCGATGCAAGGGTGTTACAAAGGATGCCGCGAAAATGTCGTATGAAAACATTCCTACCCCMAAAAAATAAATAGGGATCGGCCAACCACAGTTCGTGGCATATTCTATTGATTTTGCCGAGGGAAATTCTGCTTTACAAATACATAAACTGCAGTATTTGTATTCGCATACGTGCGTCTATTCGATTTCTTCTGCATTTAATTATGCTCGGAGTATCTGTTATTCTTTTTTTATATACGTTTCAAAAAAACGTTTTAGTGTCTTGCCATGTATTCAGTTATACCCAGTTTATTCATAAAATAATATTATATATTTAAGCTTTGTTGTATAATTATGTCATTTGACTTAAAACAATCGACAAATTAACCACTTAGAAAATTATTCCAACTACTTGAGTTGTTTTAACACACTTGAAAGATACGAAAGAAATCATCCTCAACATTTCTATATAATATATTTGTACGACCTTGTATCCTTAAAAATGTTTTGATTATAATTTTTATGTTAAGTGTATATTTTTACGTTTTAAATATTAAAAAGTTATTATATAACGCGCTTCGTTTATGAAGTTTATTTTAAAATATCTAAAATGTATAGCCTTAATTGAAAAATAATCGTATTTCCACCCAAATTAAAATTAAATAATAAATATATAAATATATATTATTAAGTTATGATGATATTGTTCAAAAATATATAATAAGTATTCAATTATTTATTAAGATGTTTAAACTTTTAAGGCAAGTATTCTCAAACTTATTATTTTATTATCACTTTATATTACTATGCAATTTTAAATAATATTATAAAATTGTATAAATTTTTTTCGTGATTCAAATTTTATTATTCAGAGTTAACTATTTGGTTTCAATTCGTTTAACTACGGTTAAAAGTTGAAAATTTCTGAAATGCCGAATTAATAATTGTTATGTATKTTGAACCTTAAAATTAATCTTTTCAAACCAACTTTTCCAGTTTTTATAACATTTTATTAATAAAAAATATGTGGTATAAAATTACTAATTAAAAAATAACTATATTAAATATGGAACTAACTAAATTATTAATTGAAYGATCTATATAAATTTTAGATTTCATTGTACCTATATAAGAAATTCTAACTATATGCTGATGCATATTGAATCTATTTATACAGGGTTATTATTTACTAGGTCTAGAATCAACACAGGAATTAAATATTTAAAAAAAAATGTATAGGTATTAAATATTCATACATTTAAATTTTATTAAGTTAGTATACATATGTTTTATACCACCTACTGTGTGATGTATGTAAAATATAACTGCTTATACTTACCATCATATTTACAGTACTAAAGGGGAAGAAATGTGTTAGTTTTCAACGTGTATATAAATGTGTAATACATGTGTGCGTGAATACAAAATAGATTAATATTATAGGTCTGCTATTTAGTATTTATTTATCCTTTGACCATTTAAATCGTTTAAATGTAATTAGAATTAGAATTTTACAAAATATTACAGTATAATAGAGATATTAAAATTGGCACATGGCTCATAAATAATTTAACAAAATTTATAACGTTTTCTGAAATATATCCTAACCTTACCTACAGGTATTCTTATCCAATAAACTCTGATTATGATTTTCGATTTTGAATCTAACTATCTAAGTATTTAATTATACCGAAAGGTGGGTACTTTAATAAAAATTAAATTCATCAGCTAAATACTGTGTGAAGGAGAATAATATATGTGTCGGGTTAGGGTGTGTTAAGGAAGTTGTAATCTATTCTTGGATCTCGGCGAAAATGTATTTTCCGTGATGTTTGCGAGATAATGCGTCGATCGTCCGCTGTGAATTAAATATACATTCTATTTCATAATACTTTATAACAATAACGAATTGTAAAAATATAATAATAGTAATATTGTTATGATTATTTTGTACCATGTACTACATATAGGTATAACATACTTGCGTATACATACATAAAAGTATATAACTGCTGGCATTGTATCTTTGAAATCGGTAGAATGGAATTGTCTAGGATTTTACGACATACGTTTAAACTGCGACCACAATATAACGGAAAAACAGTGGATTAAGGGGAGGGGCAACAATTTGAAGACGACCAACATAACTGCAGTGCGCGTTTCGTTTAGAAAACCTTCGTGGGACATACTCGTAAAATAATATAGTACTGACAACATAATAATAATAATATCATATTAGTCTAGGAATGTCCTAGATTTTCATAATGTCAACCGAAAAATAAAGGGTGCATGTTATTGATGATGATTTAATGCGTACATCTGACGTTAAAATGATTATCGTAATATATTATTATGTATATGGTATGATGATGACGATTTTCCCTACGTGTACAATATGCGATGATGGTTAGGTTTGGTTCGACCTCCTCTCTTTCGTAACACGCACACGTATAATATATATATTATATGTATGAAATCGTTCCGTTAATGTGCCTACACTCGGGCGGCAATTGCAGTCGCGGGCGGGCGGCGGGCTGTCCGTTCGTCGGCGCGCGTTCGTGTACGTGCGTACGAGCGAGCTATATAGCGAGTTGTGCGCGCGAGGGTAACACGTGTGCCCATTTCGCCATCGGAGTCATTTGACGTTGTTAACTCGTTCGCGGGCCCCGCGGAGAGCTCGGGCGCTCACAAAGCAGACGTTCCCCTCGTCAACGCTCCGGGCGGCGCTGCACGGGGTGGGGGACGCCGCCGCCGCACCCTTCCCCCCCGAGCCGCGCCCCCCTCCGTGGTGCCAAGCCCATAGCTGGCGCATATAGACACTCACACGCGCACACGATCGGCGCGTAAATATTATATGTATGTACGTATTATATTGGTTAGAAGCGGGCTGTGGTGGTTCCGGCGCGCGGGGGCTAAACGCTCTCAACGTGGCGGCGCGCGCTCCACTCCACTCTGCTCGTCGAACGCAGCGCGCAGTTGTACTCGTCGTACCCGCCGAGAACCCGTCGCCGCCGCCGACGACGACGACGACGACAGCAGCAAGCAGCAGCAGTCATGGCCGCCACCTGACCGCAACCCCACTGCGCGTGCGTTCAGTACAGTGGAAGAAAAACTCGAGAAAATCGGCTCGGCATTTTTTTTTCTACTATTTTAGATTTTCCGTTTATCTTTGTATTTCTCCCTTACCCCCTCTCACTCTCTCACTCTCGCTCGAAACGCTATTTTTCCGTAAAGCGAATATTGTTCCGTCCACCGCCGCCGATACAACGTCGTCGCTCAGTATCGTCTGTGCTTACGCGTGTGCAACTGTTCGTCATCGTTGTTCGTCGYGTGAAATCGGTTCGCACTTCGTTCGGATCTGCTCTCGGCACATCACGCGCTGCACCGGATATATGGATTAACCGCGCGTGTATAATAATAAACGTAAGTCGCTKGGGGTCGTTGACTCTTCTTAATCTAACCCCTTTTGCCGCCCGTACGAGCTCATCCACCGGGCGGCTCGCATAACATCATTATTCATTATTATTATTATRGTTTGTGACTATATTGTTATCTTTGAGTGTATATGTTTTTAGTTTTATGTATAATATTATATTGCGCACGTGGGGCAACAGAGGAACTTCTGTATGTTATTATTGCTACTTTTTATCGTGATATAAATATTGTTGCAGTAGGCGCGCGCCCAATTCTCCACTTCGGCTTTAGAAATGCGACTATTACATTTTTTTTTCATCCCACTGTTGTAGAGGGGTAATGCACTACGGGGGAAGCGGGCTAGTGGTCAGGAGGGGCGGCGCACTAAGGGAAAATGGCAACACTGTGCGGAATGCATTTCGCCACAAATTATATATACGCGCATTCGTATTCCCTCCCTTGATTTATTTTATATTATTTCATGTCTACGCGGGATTTTTTAAATCGTTTATTATTGTTTATCTTCTTGGTTTTTTTCTTGTTATTATTTTTATTATCTTTTTACGTATTTTTTTCGTATTATTGTTTCGTCATTATCCGAAAGACGTGACTGTATTACGAAAACAATATAACACAAGCGCACACACACACACGCGCGCGCGCGTTTGTGATAACATCGCACAGGTACCTACCTACCTGTAACCTGCCAATATAAAACCGAACGGTCGAAGGGCCTATCGGAGGACACCGCTGCGACCGCGCGTTTAACGGTACACCGAGTTCCCGCGAGTACGACCAATCGTGTACGAGCCCAACGCTTTACACTCTTTTATGTGCATTTGCCGAGAACATTGTAATATATTGTATTGTGTACCTGTAATATATATTTATATATTATAATGGTATACAATATACTTAATAATATATATATACATGCAAACAGTTGCGGTCGAAGAGGTGTTATCGTTTGTATTAATTCTGTCTCGGGCTCTGTACATTTTTTTTTCATCACCGCCCTAAGTGAAAAACCTCACATACCTGCATGTGTCACATATTATGCAGTTCGACGGCCCAGTCAGATGGAAAATATCACCCCGTAGACCACCAGCCGTCGAACGCATGATGACGAGTATAAATAATAAATTACCAGTTACACTTGAATACTTGCAGAACTTACATATTATTATTATAGATTATACGGAAACGTAATCAATTTTTGTGTTCCGTAGATATTAACAGATACAAAATCGACTCGTAGGTACTATATTATAATATTATGATGACGTGATGTAATGTAATGATAATAATGTGTACTTAAATATTGCTACTGTATAATATTCGATGCGCGTTGTGTCTGACAGAAATCCTATTAGCGTACGTCACCACAAAATTTCTTCCCCGGAAACCCAATCTTTAAAATCGAGTTTTATGCAAATCGTTTCCACGTATATAATGGTATCGGTATATGCAAACAATATAAACCTAAAGCTTAAATAGATCTGAAAATTTACAACACAATATAGATATTAGCGGGTATYAAGGTATTACTTATATTTATATTAATTTATTCTAACATAATCACACTAATCATTATATTGTTATATACCTACTTTAATCGTTACGAATCATTCGTTTATTATTATCTCAGAATTTGATTATCATGCTGCCGTGATGTTTTTAAAAAAAAATGCAATTTATTTGAAGGTGAATTATTAAATAAATTAATAACAAATCCCAAACATGCCCTTTCCTATTGTACATTAATTGATGAATTATGTCCTCACAAATAGATTTAATAGTTTATTTGATATAGTAGGTGCTATAAACATAGAACAAGGTTACATTAAAAGAAAAGGCCGAATTCGGATTGTAGAATTTTTTAGAAGACAATATTCCAAGTTTAACGTTTTCATGAAAAACAATTTTTATAATACTTACAAGACGTAAAGGTTACTACAACACCACCATACACGCCTTGTATAACTGACGACCTAATGATATTTATTACACAAAGACATTGTTTTAACAAACCAAAACGTGTGTTTGATTTGAAATAATGTTATTTGTTATATTTTATATTAAATTTGTTTGGTATATTACTCTAATGAACTCTTGGTTTTTTCTTTTATATTTCACATTGTTCTTGGAATCTACTCTATTCCAAACAATTGTTGTATTTCACTACTGTAGAACAAGGAAATAAAAGAATATTCATAAATTATACTGTATTAGATTTACAATTTATCCTATAATAGATCCAGCTATAGGTAATAACTTATATTACATAATATATTAATTATATACATATATAGAAAGTTTTAATAAGGATGAAAATTAATTATTCTTCATCAATAAGAATCGAACGCGTGGGACAATTGTTTATGATTTTTTTTTATTGGTATCGTTCTGATAATTAAATCATTATATCAAATAACTATACAATTTTTTTACAATTTTTTCCTATATTATGCAATACATATTATTTGTATTATTATGATTTTGATTATTTTGTAAATTACAACATTAATTTATATCGGTATTTCTTTAGGTTTAATTTTTCAATACGATTATAATAAATTAACCAAGAATTATGAYATGGTAAACAATTAAAACTTTTAATTTATTTTCTCTTCARGGGTTTAATAGATAAGAATTATTTTTAACTATACAYGGGGACACTGTTATAATATAATGAGTGTTGTCAGCAATTTAAACCTATGATTTATTAATGTTTTTATCTAATGAACTTTGAATGAATATTATTAGTTTACTCGAAATATTATTATCAGTGTCTGTTATACGAAATGATTTATGAAAACAAATTAAATTTCCAGATTACGAAATACGAAAACTGCCACTAGTTTAGTGATCACTGATTAATGTGCGTTTATAATACTTCAGTCCAATGGATTTCGACCACCCATCCCTGAATAGAGCTATAAATATGATAACATTTTTATCTGCGGACTGCGGTTCTCTTCATTTAGATTACCACCAAACCCGACCTGACAAAATAATAATGTGTTCAACAAATTTGTTTTACACTAATACAAACAAGAATATTATCTCAAATTTAATGTATATCTTTTTCCCATACTCGTGTTGGCAAATGTTCAAATTATTCTACGCGTAAAATTTGCATAGTATAAATTTACAATTATGTATTATATTTWTTTTGTTGTTTGTTTTTATTTAAATATAAAATAGACCATCGATACTATTGTCTCTTTAAACTTAACGTTTTCACTAAACCGCCTATTATGACAGTTTTGTTTATTTAGTTTTAGATTTTATTGCTGAATATTATATTATTTTGCTTGATACAGTTTGATTAATTACCTATATACTTTATTTGTATGTGTTATCTTAACAATAATAATCATCCTACAAATGTTATGAAAATGTTCCTTTTCCGTATTTAATAACGCACCTAACATAATTTGTATTTGATATCAATGGCAAAATGATAAATAAATCTGTACCTATATGTTATAATAAAGTCATGATATATGTTAACAGCTTTATTTATTWTACCTGAATATTATTAGGTATATATTTAAAAAATAACAACTAATACAAAATATTTTAATTTCTTAAAGGCCTTTAAGATTATTATGTATTATAATATACCTACTTAAAATAATTAATATCAAATTAGGGCTTAATTATTTAACTTCATAATTMAATTCTTCATCAGTTTACTCTAGAGTCAATGATAGGGAATAGAAATACGTTTTCATTGGTAAACAATATATTGTCATGTTTACATGACTTGAATAATAATGTGTTAAATGTTATAATATTTTACATTATATTACTTAACTTCCTAAATTCTTAAGTATAATTGTATAGGCATTAAGTTGCAATCATTTAATAATTCTATTGGAAACCCAAATAGCGATTTTTTTTTTTTTTAATCGTTGGTTTTATTTTTATCTCAAATATTTGTTAGGTTAAAAGTTTCATCAGATAATGATCACGTTTATTGGTATAGATTACAAGTATAATTTTTTTGTATTGAATACTTATACATTGTGAACTGTAMGTGACAATAATATAGGTTATGTATGTTGAATAAAAAATTTGTGGCATAATAATTAAATTCAMTATATTCTTGTATATTTAACATTTACTTATTTGATATTTATGTATATATTTATTTATTCTAATGACTACATTTATTCATATTTTTTTTCGATTTATATTTTTAATGCCCAGAACTTCTGAGGTTTAATAAAATCTCATATCAAATATTGTGATTAATCTTTAATGATATTTTCCTGTGTTATATAAAACTTAATTTTTTTTTTATGTGTAAAGTAAATATAAATTAATTAATTATATCAAACAACTCAAATATGTTGCTCATAAACATAGTTCTTTTAAACATTATAATACTTTATTCAATAAATTTTATTTCCTATTGGAAAAATATCCCTATTATATTAGACTTTAAAGTTTGCACGAATTATGAACCTCCAGTATATTAATAAATAATTCTTTTAACAAGACACCGATGTCTCTGTCTTACATACTCGTGAGTGCGTAACTTAATAAATATTCATAATTGATTTTACTAAAAAATACAATTTATTTATAATAAATGTTAGTGCAAGTTATATATTTTCAATTTTATACCTAAAGGGAAAATAAACTACTCGGTGAAAAGTTTTTTGTACATATTTTTATTCTATGATGATTTATATGTTCTTTATGGAATTAAAATTTCAAACTCGTATTCTTCGTTTTAAAATAAACATGGAAAAATAACATTTTCTTTTGCAAAGTTCACGTTTTCGATAAATTTAATGATATACACATGCGGATACGACTTCCTTTATTAATATAATGATTTGTAAAAATGTATGCAAGGTATAATTTTATTTAACAAACACTAGCCACGTAATTGATTTCTAATTAATAAACTTATATATTTTATATGTTGGTTTTATTTAATATGATTATTACATGTATCCACACGATTCTTATTCATTTGACGGGTTCTTCTTTTTATAATGAGAGTTTGATGTCTTGATTAATGTAATGRCATTATAGATGAGAATCGCGGTAGCTAGTATTATTATTTAATATGCATAGTAATGGTGTACTATTAGTGTACAATTGTTATAATAATTCCAGACGGAACATAATACCACATATACTGTAAATATCTATTTAAAAATCTTATTGTTGGGCAAAATTTTAAATCTCTTTACTAGAATGTATCCAGTATACAGACTATTTAAATTTAATTAAAATACCTACCTATTATTTTTAAAATAATATACTAATGTGTTTATTTTGAACAGAAGTGTAAAATAAAATTTAATACGATTTTAATAAATAATAACGCCAACAATTTGGATTTGATACTTTTTAATATGAAATTAATTATTAAACTAAAGTCGTTTTCCCACTAAAACTGATTATGCTATTCTGTAGTAAAAACAGAATAATTATATGCATCTATAGCAACTATATTATAATGCTCGAATGCGTTACGGGTACATGGTTTGTAGCGATAAGCAATTCTATRGGGGTTAAAAATGTCAAAATTATCGCATTACATTATTTATAATCGCCCCCTATCTGTCGGTATTAACAGTCAGATAAAGACCAAAAGAAGAACATTGGAAACCTATTACTTCCGTTTTAAATAAATTATATTCATTTAAATCGTCCTAACTATATTATAATGAGTAACATATTATATATTTATATTCTTTACTTGGATTAACTAACATTTTTRATGAGTTATGTTAGGTTTTATAAATTTAATTTAACTACTTATTATTTTTAACAAATAGGCTTGTTTTAAACTGAACGGAGAAATGAATTGACCCTATTTTATCCACAGTTACAAACKTATAATATAATACTAAAATATTGTTCCTTTGATAAAAAAAAAAATTCTCTGCGTATATTTACACATAATATTATTTTAGTAACATTTACAATGGCTGAATTTAGTTACCTAATTTATTTTGAGCTAAACAATATTGTTATAATTTGTAAATTATATGAATTTGCATTCCTAATGATTTCAATAAAATATTTAATATTGTCAATATTATCTGTTACAGGTGAATTTTCCGACCATATTTTTCTATCAATTGTTGTGATCAAAATTTGATACACGTGGCAAGCTTTGTTAAAAGTTATTTACATGAATCATAGTGAACATGTCACAAAACAATGGACAATCGCAGAGGTTTTGCCTCCGATGGAACAACCATCAATCCAACTTGCTTGCTGTTTTCGATCAACTATTGACAAGCGAAGCATTTGTAGATGTAACATTAGCTGTCGAAGGTCAAATGCTCCGCGCTCACAAAATGGTTCTTTCAGCATGCAGCCCTTACTTTCAGGTATTTATTTACAAGTCCTTTAAATAAAAACCTTTTTATAAAATGTTAGTAATTTATTCTGTTTGTATAGACACTTTTTGTTGGACACCCTGATAGACATCCAATCGTAATACTCAAAGATGTTCCACTTGTTGACATGAGATCATTATTAGATTTTATGTACAGGGGCGAGGTAAATAATTTTTGTGAATTACCTTACATCAGTACATCACAACAATAAAATTAAACATGCAAATTTATTTATTCATTTAGGTCAGTGTTGATCAAGATAGATTGTCGGCTTTCCTAAAAGTTGCAGAATCATTGCGGATCAAAGGTTTAACTGAGGTCAATGAAGATCGTGGGGACCTACCCTCGTTAGCTTCTTCTCTTCTTCAGTCTCACTCATCATCTCCGTCCTCTTCACCAGTACACAACAACCAAATGGCTCATGTGCCTCAACTTCAACGCATACATAATCATAGTCCTCTACCTATGAAAAGGCCACTGCCATCTCATCCGCTTCACGATCAACAGCGTCAACATTTATCATACCCGATGAACCCGCTATTAGGATCTGCTCTAACTGCACCTAAGCGGAAACGCGGACGCCCCAGGAAATTATCTACAGGAAGTAACTCGCCTTCTAGACCAAACGACAATAATAATGATGATAGTAGAGCATCTACTCCAGTTGGTACAAGCGCAGGTAAGCTTATTGAAAATTTTAATATATTTTATCTTTGCAATATAATATTTAAATGGGATTCAAAGTATAAATTTAATTTAAATAATGCAGGAAGCGGCCGTGATCCACCAGATTTATTGGAATTGAACATGTCTGAAGAATCAGAATCTGCTGCAGCTGCTCCTAGGAATTTGGATTCTCCAAGTCAAGATGATATAGCTGATCACGAAGATATGGAAGAAGAATATACAGAAAATGGAATGGAGATCAAAGAAGAACCTATTGACCCAGTTCCAGGGACATCCCAAGGTAAATTATTTTAGCATCGTTAAACAAAATAAATTCTTTCTATATTTCTTATACCTAGGATTTTCTTAAGATAATTTTTTTTGAAACTTATAACAATAACTTGTGTTTACATGTTTTACTTATAATACATAATTTCTGTTCTCAATTTTAGATTTAAGTACAGTGAAAAAAGAATATGACACTCACTCTAGTATGCAGTTAGACCAAAGCGCATGTGGTAAGTTTTATTATAAACCGTTCAATCAATGTCATCATTCAAGAGATAATTACCATTTTAGTTAGTTAGTTGACTTAAGTTAATATTATTTAACAATGTACATGTTGATCATGTTTTTTTGTCATCGTAAATTCTTAACAATTATTTTTGTGATTATCTACATTTCATGTGATTATTTTAGCGCTTATAAATTAACAATCAGATGGGACACCTTCCTCTTTTATTTTTAATTTATAATTTTGTCCAAAACTTTTCATTAAATTTTCCTTCATAAATTGTACAATATAATTTTATTTTATTTGGTGGATAAAATGTAAACTAATTTAAGAGAAAGGTTTCGCATCTGGTTTTTCTGGTCTGTGCGTTAAAACAAATTTTTGATACCTACTGTCAAGTAATAAATCTATAAAAAGAATTTTTAAAGGACATAATTTTGATTGACAATCAGGTAAGTAGTATTTCCTTAAATATATTTTTCAGTAGTTTTAAATTAAAATGGAGGAAAGTGGACCCATCATTTTGTTAATATTCTTTTAGGATGGGCTTATAAAAATGTTTTAATTTTATTCAAATATTAATTTTAAATCCTTTAAAAAGTAAAAATAAAAATAAAAATTTAAGTATTATGATTTTACTCATATTTATTTTTTTCTAATTTTTTGATCAATGTCAGGTAATTAAAGATTAGAGTATATTTTAGTTAAACTAAAAAAAAAATATTTAGTTATCTCAAATACTTTCGTAGTCTATATTTTCTTTAAAATACAGACATTAAAGTAACAGTACATAAAGTACAGCATAAAGTAAAAATAATAATTTAAAAACATTTTTATACAATCCATTGTAAGTAATTATATAAAATGTATGTGAAATAAATTWAATGTAAAAGATCAAATATTTTTCAGAGGTAGAATCTGAACAAAAACCTACTTCATTTAAAGATGCAAATGGAACAAGTGACTTGGACATTACAACAAACCATGCTAATCGACCAATTATGGACAAGTATTCAGTTCGTCAATTCTGTACTCAAGAATCAAGCAATCTTTTTAGATGTAATTTATGCCGCAAAACATACACTCACATTAGTAATTTCTGTCGACATTTCCTATCATCTCATCATGGAATTAGACAAGAAGTACCCTGTCCTGTATGTACTAGGATGTTTACAAGAAGAGACAACATGTTAACACATATGAAACAAGTACATAGAGTTTCTGCTCCCAAAGTTTATGCTACAAACAATAATAGCAGTTCTAGATTTGAATATAATAGTTTGTGATATTCTATAATTGTTCACATATGCTAGCATATTATTACAATTTTATTTATTTATTTTTTTTTTTTACATGTTGACTGTTAATTAACCAGTATTGAAGGTAATAATGCAGATAATATCTTTCCATGAATACATTTAATCATATATTGTACCAAAGTTAAGAAACTTGAGTGAAATAACTATAATTTAACAATTCACAAGTGGGATATARTTTTTAATTATGTACTTAAAAAGTTCAATTGTATAGTTGTTGTTTGTAGGGTAAAGGTAAATTTGTGTTAAAATTTATTTTCATATTTTTATTGCGTTTTTGTTTTCCTAAGTTTTAATTTGTTTTTCCTTTGCCTTTTATGCTCCTTCCAAAGTTAACCCGTCCAATGTTTTTATTATTATAATCATTTAATTTGAATTGTTAAACTATTTAGGATGAACAATTGTTATAATAAATACCTGTCAATAATTTAAATCTGTCTTGCCATTTACAAGTCAAATATTATTTAAACAATCTAAGTATGATTATGTTAACTGAGCTACATTTTAATAAATATTAAAAATATAATTTTGATATATTGTCAATTAGAAAGACTAACCAGGTCTTTATTTTATTTTAAAATGTTGTTTTTGCATAAAACTAAATTAGTCAAACTAAATTTTAAACTAGTGTATGATTTGATTGTTTTTGTTAATACCTAATTTTTAAGTTGGGCTGTGTGTTTTCTTAGTCAATTTGTTATTCAATCTGCCTTGCCATTATGTGTAGTTTTGATTTTAAGATTATAACTTTGTTGAGAAATTTGTTTATATTTATAAATACAACCATATTTAAAGTATATTATATTATTATTATTTTTATTTATAGACTGCTAGACAGGGTGTATTTAGCATACAATTAGTTTAGTAAACAATGGTGCTTTGTTTTAACTTTTGGGGAAATAACGAGTATTTTTGTAAAAATTTGAACGCCCATTACTAATCAAATTGGCTGTGAAAGCTACAAATATTAGTTAAATGTATTATTTTTCTTTTGGTTTTGTTAATTTGAATTTGATAATTGACTGAATTGAATAAGTATCCAAATAAGCTTGTTTTAATATGATCATTAATATGTTATTAATCCGTTTGTTTTGTTATTTTTTTTCCTATTTAATATTTATCCTTTGGGCAGCATTAAAATATATATTTGTTATCATTGTTTTGTTTTAATGCTCCATCATATACCTAGTACATACAGTGATATTTAATATGTGAAGATAATGATAAAATAAATACAAATGAAAAATAAATGTTTTATTATTTTTTAAACTCCTAATCTACTCCTATTTTATATTATTTCACTTTATTAATGTAAAATGCTCCCAATTTATTAAGCTTTTACAATTTGTATTAAAGACTATATTTTCTATTTAATATTTTAAGTTATAACTAATATCTTTAAACATGTAATCTATTATCTTTACATACAAAATATTTTGTTATATTTGCGGCCATAGGAGTTATATCTACAAAATTKCAAAATCAAATCAACAGATAACTTTATTGTAAGTGACAGGTGAACATAATTAAATATCAGCATGAGATATGAAGTAGTATCTAGATTTTGTGTAGATAATTTTTTACATTTAAACATTATAAATTATTATGTATTTGTAGCTTTATGCGTGCATTTTTAATAGTTACATAATATTATAATAGTCAAATTTAATTGCATACATTTTTAAAAATATTTCTTAGATTATAATTTTTTTTTGTTTTATTTATTTTACTATTAGAACCTATTTATATTATTTGATCTATATTATATATATWAAAAAAAACTAATAGTCTTTTTTGCAATAATAATAATTAGTTATATTATATTTTGTCAATATCCTTCACAATAAGGATAATAAATGTTAAAATTATTTAATGACTGATCTTTTTTATAAAAAAAAAAAAAAAAACATTTTGTTGTTGAGATGAATAACAATTGTATCATTTATAAATGTGCTACTTAAAAATCATTTCTTTTAAGAGGATGTCAGCAGTATGCTTAATCTCTCACTCCGACCCCACATGTAACATACACAAAATATATTCACATAAATTCATTATTTTTTCAAATAATCTTAGAGTAAAATAATCCATCACCTATTTTAACTATACAATTAATATTTATAAATGGTACTTATAACATAGGTAAGCTTAATTTCTTATTTTTTTGGTTACCTTCTTTAATTATTAATTTAACTACTTACATTACTTTTTTTTATAGTTAATAGTTTGTTATTATTATTTATTGCACTTTGATATTATATAGTTTATTGCATTATTTAGAAAAATAAAATATCTCAAAAATTAGACAGATTTTTATACCTAAATATTTCTGATCATTATTAGTGATTAGTGTAGAAGCAAAAGCGCAAAAACATGTATATAATATGATATAATGTACCTATATGACGTTAAAAACAATATATGATCAATTAAAATACATTAGAATTAATTTTGAACACAAAATTAATGTTCCGTTATAATATTATATCGTATGTTCGTTATTTAAAACTTGTGTTCGAAGAATTAACACTCAACTCCAATTGTACGTGTACACACAGTTGTTAAAATATTAAGTCCAGAAGTCATGTCAGTAACTACTTATATTTTATACACTTAATATACGTCATATATGCCTATAGATTATGACTTGTGAACGAAGTAAAACGTTTATTGTTTCTTATAAATTGTCCGTATAGATGAAATTTTGTACATTAAAAGTTAATAACCAGCTATCGCCGTCTAGCTTCCCATATATTTTATACCAACAACCCGATTTAAATTACAACAAAACTCTTCAATCGTAGTAACGAATACATTACACCGATATTTGCATAAGCGTTGACGGTCGATTCTTTAACATACATTTAGTCTTAGGTTAATACCATATAATTATTATACTTTATTAGATAATAATAATCCGTAATTTGTTTCTTTTGACGTTCAGGATTTTAATCATATTATTATTATATTATGATGATAATTGTTGACCAACGCCCATTATATTATGTCAAATGTATATTGTTTATGTGKTTACGATGATAACTTGCAGCCTATTATACCTATAAATCTATTTTACTTTAAAATATTTGCGTAGTACCACAGGCCAGCCGTAAGCCAACGATTCCGTTTTAAGTAGGTAATTGCTGATTATCTGCGACTTCTCRTATAGTGTTTGTTCTAACCGTGGTATAGTCATATCCGCGCTGTTGTATAACTTGTAGGTGCGTTGTCTAAATATTATCTAGTTCACACGCGGTTTGTGACACTTTATTGAACAACGCTGTGCGTCATTTTATGGGTAGTCAACAATAACAATATTCGGTAAATCTGCATGTATAATCCAGTTTTAAAGCAAACAACCTGAGAATATTGGTCATAATGCCATTATTTTTTAGTTACATTTTTGAAATTTAAGTCGCATTTCTCAAAATATTTAATCTGTTAATTGATTGTCAAGTGCCATTAGTGCCAATTATATAAATAATTATAAATACTAAAATACTATACTGACATACAGTAAATAACAAAATGTTTCATGCGATAAAATTTTCGAGAAACAAATTATAGGTATCTTTGGTTAGGTTATGTATATATATCGTATTATACTCTGCTAGATATAAGCCAGTTCAATGCGATAATTTTAGGCTTTAGAAAGTGCGGGGACGTTAGATTCACCTCGAAAAACCCTAAAATATTTAAATAGCCAAGAAAATTCMTAGAAAAACTATTTTTTTAATAAAAGATTTGTTGAAGTGCAGTACCTAGTGGAAAATATAAAATAATAGCGTATTTAAGACATATTATTGACAATCATAGGTACCTACTTCGATTTATTATGAAAAATAAAATACATCAATAATGTAATTTTTTTTTAAACTGGCTTTTTAAATGAAATGTAAAATAAGTTTTCAAAAATAATTATATAAACAATCAACTTGGATTTTTGTCGGATCCATTAGATATTTTGACCTAGATTCAACTATAACATTATAGTTAACGTTAACACATTTGCCTACCTATTTTCTCGYACCTAGATAAACTTTTATTTAAACAATTTATTTACCCAAATAATAACGAATAAAGATTATGTCTTTGCGAGCTCCYAAACATTTGTTTAAATTCTTTTCCAGTGTTTCAATCACCCGAATTCGGATGCGAAGCCTTGGTTTAAATCGTTAATATTATAAACTTATTCCTATTTGTATACCAAAATAAGTAGGAAATGCTAAGATCTCACGGGCATCCCAATGCTTATTGTCGAATAATTTATAAACTGTAGAATACCTGCAATTTATTACGATTTAGTCTTAACGAGACACGCATCACACACCGCAATGTTATCGATAGCATTGTAGTTTTACGTACCAATATAGTATTTATACTTACTTACTATTTTTTTAAATTAATATTATTTGTTTTACTTTTTTGGCATAGCTGCTGCCTGCTTGACCGTGTGGCACCAATCACACGGCCCCACACGCCGTTTATTATTCCATAATATTGCGTGTTGCTTGCTGCAGTTTTCATTTATTTATTCATTTTTTTTTTTTCATTATCGTACCATATAATATTACGTATATCCACCCTTTATGAACTCAGTTTATTATGTATTATTTATTCGTCCTCATCAATCACAGTTAATGCGTGTCGAAAACGCACCGCAGTAATTATTTGAATGCCAACACATTATTAAATTTTGTATCGTGTTTTGAGTACTATATAGACCGTCGAAAGTATAATATTGAAATTGAAAAAAATCGTCTTTATGGCGGCCAAAAATTTTTCGATGAGTTTCTTAAACGTGTTTTTTTCTTTTATCCGTAGACATGCACAATGCGAACATGTTAAAGTTGTTGTCTTCGAGGACTGATAACGAACACCACCATCATCTCCACCAGTCAGCGGACGGCGGAGACCGTGACAACAACAACGACGCTCGTCTGACGCTGGCGGCCAGCTGGTCGGTGTTGGCAGCCGATCAAAAGTCCAAGTTCTCGCTGGCCGTTTCCCAGCATACTTCCGGCTACAAGCAACAGCTGCAGGCTGCCCTCGACGAGGAGAAGCGGCAGATGCAAGAGTCGCAGCAACTACACCACCACCACCAGCAGCAGCAGCACCACCACCATCAGCAACAGCAACAGCAGCAGCAGCAGCAACAGCAACAGGCCGCTGCTGCTGCGGC